TCTTCAGGTAACTCGGGGACCCCAGTTGGTTCATGTTGGTGTGAGAGACAGGGTTGCAATAGTGAAAAGAGAAAAGGTTCTTCAGGTAACTCGGGGACCCCAGTTGGTTCATGTTGGTGTGAGAGACAGTGTTGCAATAGTGAAAAGAGAAAAAGTAGGCAGGAGGCAACCAGAGCAGGAAGCTGAGAGCTCAAATATAAGACAGAGAGAGAGAGACAGAGACAGAGACAGAGAGACAGACAGAGAGACAGAGAGACAGAGAGAGAGACAGAGCGAGATTGATTGAAGGAGTCAGAGACAGCAAGAGTTAGTGGGTGGGAATTTGGATTGGACTTGTTTTAACCCCTGTGGTTTCGCCTCCCACAGACGAGAGACGTAGTGCTCCCTGCTCTGCAAGCAGTCCCCAACCTGGATGGAGTGAAAGATGCGGCCTGATGACATAAATCCGAGGACTGGGCTGGTGGTGGCCCTGGTCAGCGTCTTTCTGGTCTTTGGTTTCATGTTCACTGTCTCTGGGATGAAAGGGGAAACTCTAGGGAACATCCCCCTCTTGGCCATCGGGCCAGCCATCTGCCTACCAGGCATTGCAGCCATTGCTCTGGCTAGGAAAACCGAAGGATGCACCAAGTGGCCAGAGAATGAGCTGCTGTGGGTCCGCAAGCTGCCCTGCTTTCGGAAGCCTAAAGACAAGGACGTAGTGGAGCTGCTGAGGACCCCTTCAGACCTGGAGTCGGGCAAGGGAAGTTCGGATGAACTGGCCAAGAAGGCCGGCCTCAGAGGGAAGCCGCTCCCACAGGGGCCGAGTGAGGTGCCGATGGCCAGCTCCATCACCGCCCCCACACCCATGGAGGAAGGAGAATGCCAGAGTCTGGTCCAGAGTGGGCGTCAGGAGGAGACGTCCAGATATCTGGATGGCTACTGCCCCTCCGGCAGTTCCCTCACCTATAGTGCCTTGGATGCCAAGTGCTCAGCCTGGGACAGATCTGACTGCCCTGAGCCAGAGGACAGCATCTTCTTCGTGCCCCAGGACAGTATCATCGTTTGCTCCTACAAGCAGAAAAGCCCCTATGACAGATACTGTTGCTACATCAATCAGACCCAAGGCAGGTGGGACCATGAGACAATAGTCTGATCTGTGAATACAAGGGTCACTGTGTTGATAGGCACGTGGCTACCTTCAACCCTCAATGGAAGGAAATCTCTGCTCCAACAGCCTTCACACTGTTAGAAACTGGCATGGTTGCTGATGGATGTGCAGACATCTGGTGCCTGGTAGTCATGTAAATAGGCATGTTGGGGACACATTTTAGAGACGTGATGAGAATTAAGGACACTGGAAGAGGTGGTGTGTAGGAAAGGAAGGAACTCCATTTGCTTCTTAACAATTTAATGTTGACTTTGTAAAATAACCCAAAAAGTGCTATCAAGCACCTGCTGAAAGTGAGGTAAGTTTAGAGTGAGCTGCAGATGTGTGAAATGATGCATGGGCTGTCCACAGGGAAACGGGCTGCTTTTAAAAGGAAGCTTTTTACACACAGTGATTGCTGAAAGGAGCAAAAATCAAGTCAGAATAGTTAAACCCTCTTTAGATGGGATGGGTTTTGGAAGAATGGGAGTTCAAAATAATTTAAATGCATAATTGAGTCTGCTGACAAGATGAAGTTTTCAAATAGATTATGTGTGACTGTTATGTAAAAAGTTCATAGTTTTAGGTGACTGTGTTAGTTCTAAAACTCTTCATTTGAACTGATTTACTGGGACTTTATCTGAAGTTTTTATATTTACTACATTCATGTATAATTTCCTTACCAGGTGCAAAATGACTTGATGTAATATTTTCATAGGTTAGAATTTGTTTTTATCAAAACAAAACAAATTTTGCAGATCTGTCTAAGTGTCTTTCACATCTCTGGGAGGCATGTACTAAGAATTACTATATGGCTTTTAAAAATCTGAAACTACAGAGTCAATATGTTGGGCCTAAAGATTATGCAAAATTTGTATGAAGTACAATGGTTAAAACTTCGGAAATGTTTATATGTACATTTGTCAAACACCCTCACAGATTACAGATGTCGATGAAACAAGAGTTATTCATGAGACTTACGTGAGGCCTGTATTTTATTAAGTTCACAGGTCCAGTGAACTTTACATGTTAAAAGTCTTTATATTTCCCACTTTGTGACTGAGGGGGGAAACATCACAGTGGTGTCCTACAATTTATTTTCTATATGTCTTGCTCAACTGCAACATTAAAAAGAGTGATCAGTCATCAGTCATGCCATTTGATCCCTCTTGTAGAATACTGAATCATGTATAGGATGGTGAGTTTCATCTTGAGGACCAGTACTGTTTTGTACCCTTCAAAGAATTGTGATTCTAAGTCAAATAGTTTTAGACGCTTTGACCCAAAAGGTAAATTGAGAACAAAAATCAGGGGCTTATTTCTTTTATGTATTTCAAATCCAACTCTGTGATTCTACCTAAGTGTAGCAATTGTTCTGTCTTAAGACTCATGCTCTTGAAAATCATAATTTCTAAATGATGTTTGTCAAAAGTATGCAATCTTTTTTGTAGGGCTTACATGTTACAGTTGTGTGATCTTGGGCAAAGGTTATCTTCTGACAGCTCAGTTTCCTACTCTATGAAAGGAGAATAGGGAAAAGACTTATTTATGCTAAATTTTTTCCATCATTCATCCCCATATTGGATATTCTATGATAGTATATCAAAGGTACTGTGTATGTTGCCTAGAAATGAGCTACAGCAAAATGCATGCCAAAGTTATACAATCCATGATCAAAATTATGTGACATGGATTAAATTGCTACTACTCAAAAGAATTTTGTAGAGGTATGAAAGCAGGTGTATTTTATTAGCAGATATTATCTATTTAACACCAATCCGTTCCTGGGAATAAAGCTGAAGATGTGAGGGGTCAAATATTTTTGAGGAGAAATTTTTAAATCTTAGTATAGCCCAAAATAATCTAATACATAGCTTTGCACTAAGTGTAACTGACTTTGGTTTGGGATGGTGATGGATAGTTTCCTAAAATCACAATGCCTGTTTTGAAAGTGGAAAATAATATTCATAGAGGAAAAGATGATTGGGAAACTCAATAACAAAAATTTCCCCTAATGTGTTTGCCACTATTGGCATCTTTAGAAGTGAGGAACAGACAGATGTTTGCAGGGAGTCAGCAAGTCTTAGTCAGGTCTGAAAGGAGATGCTTGTGTCATATATGGTTTGAGGTTTGGGAAAGTTACTTTCTGATTTCTTGGAAACAGCTCAAAATCTTTCATAAAATGTGCACATGTGTGCATACCCAGAGTCCCACTTCCAAACCAAGGGTCAAATACTGATTTAGAGGCAAGGTATTTTATCACATTTTCAAGTTGTATTCCAGAAGAAACTGATTTCAGGTTTCTTCTTCCATCCATTTATTAAAATGCTGCAAGTATCTAAGTATGTATTTGTGAGTATATTTTCCTGTGCTAAAAGGGTGGTTTGCAGATGTTGGACTGAGAGATTTACCTTTCTTTACCAAAAGAATAAAATATATGGCTGTGTCTTGTAAGAATTTTTCTTAACATCTCCTAAGCTAACCCCTCCTATTTGCAGCAAAGCAACTTAGGGCCCCAAATCAACACTTGTAAGTACTATTCAGGGTGAAACTGTTGTTCTTTTGAATAAAGGCAGAAGAAAAGGAGAAAAAGGTGACCTTAGAGGAACAGAGAACATTCCATTCAAATCAATAGTTTCAGGAAATGACAAATATTAACCTAAGAGGCAAAAGGATTGTTTCCTGGAAGCCTTTAAGAATTTCAAAACCTACATGAATTTAAGTGGGCACTTGTTCCATTTACTTTTCTGTTAATCCAAACACTCATTTTCTACTTAGTTTCATGTGGGCATTTTACTTCTGAAATGTCTCTATTCGGTTTCTCTCACTCTTTCTGTATTCCTCTTTATTAGGAACATGGGTTCTTTTCCCATCTGCCTGTTTCTTGATTCCTAAATGTGAATTCAGCCAAGATACCCAAGCTGGACCACATGAGACAACTGTTTCAAGATTTACTTTGTATTGCAATCCTCTTGGCAGGGGAGAGGGGGACCCAGATACAGTTAGGTCCCTGCTGTCTTCCAACCCTGCTCACCAGCTCCTCTGGAAATGTTTTCGATACTATAGATCTTAACATCCACTGAGGTGGCAAATGTGGGAAGGGAAGATTCCTTCTTTAAAACACTTTTACTCTCTTGTAAGATCCAACCTCTACTTATTTGTTAGCATCGCCCCTCTGCTCTCACAGCATTTAGTAAATTCACTATCATTATTTCCACTGTTATCTTATCACATTAAAGATAAACTATTTTTGCTGATTGTGGTGATTATGATCCTGTAATCCCAGCACTTGGGAGGTGGAGGTAGAAGGATCAGCAGTTCAAAGCCATCCTCGATTCTCAGCTACATAGCAAGTTTAAGGACAATCTGGTCTACATGAAACACTGTCAAAAACCAACAACAAAAAAAGAATTTTCAAGACTCCAAACTCCTAGTACCCTAGCAGAACTACTCTGTTTCTATTTTGGCATCTCATCTTCCAGACCTTTTCACATGCACACACAGTATACATATTTAACAGCCCGCTTTTCTTTTTCTTTTTTTCATTAAATACATCTTAAGCATCTTTCCGTGTTTCTGAATAGTATTCCTAATTATCAGTTAATAACTATGTAATATGCCATTTTGGTGGTTCCATAATTTATCGTGCATTCCTTGTTGCTAACCATGTATTATATTTTATTGATGTTTTTACTATACAGCCACAGAAATGAAGACATACAATTGAAAAGCTGTTTCCTTTGCAGAGGGAGCAGAAATGTGTAATGAATCAAATTTTCCATAGAGGTATTCAGCCTTCTTTCCACATGTGGATTTAAGATGCAGGGTGGCAGGCAACTGGATCTTGCTCCAAAATGCTGCATCTCAAAAGGATATTTCCACAAAGTCGGTCTTCAAAGCACAATATCCAATAAGCAAAATTGTAAATAGACTTAAATGGTGATAATTTCTCATATTCCAAAAGCATTTTTCTTAAAGTACCTCCCCATATATTTTATAATATATTTCATGTGTAGGTATCTTGCTACCTATTAGTGACTTATAAATGAACTGAAATGTTAGGAATTCAATAGACTCTACCAAGGACTTTTCTGTGACTCAGTTCCTTCCAGCAAAAAACTAAATTGATGATGGACACATGCATAAATGTTTGGTACAATCAAAAGTCTCAATAAAGGCTTGAATTACAATCAGCCTCTTGTCAGGCTAACATAAAAACATGTGAATACTATGTTAATCAGTTTTCTGTTACTCCGAAAAATTACCTGAAATGATAACTTACAAAGATGAAAGGTTAATTTTGGATCAGTATTTTGGAGGTTTCAGTACAAGGTCTGGTGGACGCATTGGTTTGGGACCTGGTGCAAGGCAGCCCATCATGGCAGAGAGCAGGAAACAGAGCAAAACTGCTTCTCTTGTCACTGGGACAAATGAGAGAGGGAGGAAGGGGCTGGGATCCCAATATCCCTCCAATGCCATGTCCCTAGCCACCGGGAGTTTCCCCCACCTCCCAATAGCACCAAGTTGAGGGCCAAGCTTTAACACAAGGGCCTCTGGAAGATATGCCAAATCTAAACTACAGCAAGATCTGTTGAGCTGCGATCCTGTGTGGCATATCACAGCCTTCCACAGGGTCCTCCTTGCACAGGCACTCAACACAAGTTTATATGGGTTGAGTTCCCTTGATTCAAGATTCTTGGATCAGAAGTATTTTAGATTTTGGAGTTACTGCATTTGGGAATATTTGCATAGACTTTCCCAGGTGAGCTTCCACAACCCAAACATTCTAAATGTGAAATGCCACAAAATTTAAAACCCTTTAAATGTTATGTCATTGCTGGAAGGGTTTCTGATTTGGAGCATTTGAAATTTGAGCTTTTTTAGTTGAGGATACTCAACCTGGACAGGAGGCTGGCCAGATACACAAGACAGGCACCAATGCCACCTCCAGTGTTTGGTGAGTCGTTCCTGGGATCTTTTCTTTTCCCCCATTCCTCCTCCTGCCCCAGGTTAGAGCCTGCAACTTTGACAACCTCAGCATCCTTAGTACAAGGCTTTGAATGCTTTAGCCCTAGTAAGATACAAAGTTATAGAATGGAGCAGACATTAAACACAACGTAAAGCTACTCAAGACCTTGTGTTCTCTTTTTCATATCTGTCAAATCAGAAAGTTAAAGTAAAATAATTTTTGCTATTAATTACTTATTTTTCATGATGATGGGTTATTGTACATTAGCCAAGTCTTCAGTCTGAGGCAAGACCACATGAAGACACTTTGGACTTTGGAACTTACCGCTTACAATGAAAAGTCTGGGTAATTACCTTCTACGCAAGTGATTAGACTCAGACCAACTCAGAAAGGCCCTCCTTCTCCTGTGCTCTGTCACCTTCCCTCCTATCCTGTGCAGTGTTGTGTGTGTGTGTGTGTGTGTGTGTGTGTGTGTGTGTGTGTTATGCCTGCATTTATTAAGTGCACCCATGTCCTGTGGTACAGTACCAGAGGAGGACAGAGAGGGCATCAATCCCCTGGAACTGGATGGTTGTTAGCCTCCACGTGGGTGCTGGGATTCGAACCCAGTTCTTCTGTAAGAGTAGCCAGTGCTCTTAACCATTGAGCCATCTCTTCAGCCCTCAGCAGCCTCTTTTAAAACTTTGCTTGCTTGTTTGTTTATTTAATGAAGTGGGGGCAGTGTGGGCATGCCATGGAGCATGTTTGGCAATCGAGAGACAACTTGTAGGAGTCAGTTCTCTCCTTTTGCCATCTGAGTCCTGGGGATCTTCGGCCTTGGCAACAAGAAAGCCATCTCACTGACCACTCCAACAGCTTTTTGAAAATACTTGAGTGTGACCTTCACCTAACCACATGGGCCTTTGTCCCAACCATTTCACCCAAGAGCTTTCTAGGGAAAGGGATGTTTTATCCATCTTTTCTCCACCTCTCCCTCTGCAATGCATCCTGCTTTGCTCAGTGAAAACTCCAAATTGCATCATTCAATCATACTCAAATCTCATCTCCCTCTTTATATTGAATATAATCAGCAATAATGTGAGTTAAAATAGGCTTATGTAAGTTGAGACCCTAATTTTTATTTAGTTTATTGTTTCCCTGGGGAACCACATCTCACATAACAAGAAGAGATAAAGTTTTCCAGAACACTTCTCCCCATCCCCAACCCTCCCCCCAGGACTGACCTAACTCCCATTGCTATTCTGTATGAGTCAGTGTTTGCAATAAACACATGACAAGACGTGGTGATTATAGGAGCACTGCACAAGCCATCTTTTGAAAGAAGGTAAATCAATGTTTTTCAGGTTAATATTGCAAGTACATCAACAAAATATAATTCCCAGCATTGACTACTGCCCTTCAGTTAAGATTCTCTTTGCTAATTCTCTTTTTTACATACATTATTGTGTGTGTGTGTGTGTGTGTGTGTGTGTGTGTGTGTTTTGGCTGTTCACATGCCACAATGCATGTCTGAAGGAAAATTTGCAGAAGTCAGTTCTGTCCTTCTACCATGTGAGTCCCAGGGACTGAACTCAAGCTTGGTGGCAGGCATCTTGACCCACTGAGCCATCTTACCACCCAATCCCTCATCCCCTGATAATTCTTAACAGTCTCTTCAAGGCAACCTGGGTGTTCTCTCAGGTCAGTATTGGGGACCTGAGCTGCTGACCCTCATCCCCTGCCCCTACACACACACACACACACACACACACACACACACACACACACACACACATTCCCAGTGAAGTTATTTTTCCACAGAGTTTATGAGATGCTCAGAGATGCTGGTTTGTGATTCAGAGAGAGAAGCCCGATTGTTCTGGAGCAAAGTGATGGCAGTGTTTGGCAATTCCCGTGAGTGACATTCAAAGCCAGTGTTAATAACTGCTAACCTATATAATTTTCCCCACGAAATTTCCTTCTATCTGGCTAGATAGAAATGTATTTAATTTGAGTAACTCTTTTTCTAGACCATAGGAAATAGCTAGATCTCCTTTATCAATAGCAAGAAAGACATGCTTTAAATTTGGGTGAGGAATTTGGGTGAGACTTCTCATCACTGTGACAGAATATCTAACACAGAATTATTTATTCTGGCTCACAGTTTCAGAGGTTTAGGCCCATCATGGTGCAAAGAGAAGCTCACATCATGACAGTCAGAAGGCAGAAAAAGAAAATGTCTCTTGTGCACGCTCTCCTTTTCCTCTTCTTAGACTACCCCAGTGCCAGCCTATGGATGGTAGGGCCGGTCCTCTCCCTTCGGTTAATCATCTCTGAAAGTGTGTTCACAGACATACCCTAGTCTCCTAGGCACTTCTCAATCCAATCAAGTTGACAATTAAAAGTAACCACCAAAGAGGCAAAGACAGAGGATTCAGACTCCCAGCTCAGGGTGATGAGCCAGCTGTTCTCATGAAGCCACTCACCGCT